TGGTGGAGTTTGAGACGATTTTAGGCATGGATTGGATGATTAAAAACTGTCACTATTGATTGCAAAAAAAAATACTGTTAAAATAAAATTTATTTGGGGAGACAAAATTTAAATTTTTTTGTGACAAAGGATTGACAAAATTGTTGAATGCAAGGTTTATATTCTACAAGTTGATAATTTGAAGAAGGAAATTCATGAGAATGCTCATTTATTTGAATGTACTATTCACTCATGGAGTAAGTATTAGGGTCTCAAGATAACATTTTTGTGAACAGAATTAAAGAAGAATGCGGCAAAATTTGTGGCTAAGTGTCCTTTATGTCAGTTAGTGAAGGAAGAACTTCAGCATCCTAGAGGTCATTTACGGCCTTTGTCGATCCCCGAGTGGAAATAAGCAGAGATTGCGATGGATTTTGTGATTGAGTTGCCTTAAATCACGATATAGTTGAGATGCTATATGGGTAATTGTCGATAGATTAACTAAGTCTGCACATTTCTTCATATTAGACAAACAAATCAAGTGGAGAGATTAGCCAAATTATACGTGGATTAAATTGTGAGATTGCATGGAGTGTCAAAGTTTATTGTCTTTGATAGAGATGACATATCTACTTTCAAATTGTGGAAAAATGCTCGAGAAGCTTTGGGCACCCAATTAACTTTCAGTATAACATTTCACCCTTATACGAATGACCACTCAAAAAGGACTATCCAGAGTTTGGAGGATTTACTAAGGTTATGTGTTGTTGACTTTTGCGTAGGTTGGGAATCACATATATTTTTAATAGAATTTACATACAATAATAGTTATCAGACTAGCATTGAGATAACTCCATATGAATCTTTGTATGGAAGGAAGTGTAGGGCTCCTTTATGTTTAGCTGAATAGGTGAAAGAAAAATAAGTGAAGCTGGCTTGGTTGATGATGCTACCAAGAAGATTAGATTGATCAGAGAAAGATTAAAAACAATGCAAGATAGATAGAGGAAATATTACGATACCAAGCACAGACATGTTGAGTTTAAAGTTGGAGAGCTTGTCTTTATTAAGCTTAGTTCTCTAATGAGTTTGCAAAGATTTGGAAAGACAGGAAAATAGAGCCCCATATATGTAGGTTCATATGGGATTGTGGAGAGGATTTGGAAGGTAGCTTACAAATTGACTTTATCAGCTCATATGCAAGAAGTACATAATATTTTTCATGTTTCTTCACTCAGAAAATATATTGCAGATGAATCTAGAAGGGCGATAACAGACTCAATTGATATTCAACATTATTTGACTTAAATTGAAGAGCCCGAAAGAATATTCGATTATGATGTGAAGAAGCTTCGTAATAAAGCAGAAATCAAAGAAGGATGCTTTTGGCAGAGTTTTTGAGATGCAAGAAAGATATTCACAGCCTTCATTTGATGTATGTTTGCTTTTATGATTATTTTTAAATTTTGAGTACAAGAATTTCAATAAGAATGAGAGATTGTAATAATTGAAATTAAACAAATAGTAATAATTATATTAAATCAATTAGACACCAAGGATGCACTTCCCTTTGATTACGACTTAAGAATCATTTGCCCTCTTTCTAAAGATGGAATCAGAGGGGTGAGAAATGAAACCTCAGAGGTGAAGGAAGGTGGTCGGGCCGCTTCAATACTGTTCTCTCGTGCGTAGGAAGAGGAAGAAGGAGAAATATCACATGTGTGTGGTCCTGTGCCGGCCCTAGTCGATCGAAGTCGAGAAGTAAGTTGGAAGTTGTTGCTTCATGTGCTGGTACCATGTGGAGGTGGAAGCGACGTCGAGGGCTTGCAGTGTCGGATTGAGTCACGACCAAAGACAGAGGAGGTGAGTCACGACCAAAGACAAAGGAGGTATGATTCGATGCTATGCTTGTGTAGAGGAAGGGGAAAAAGAGGCACTGTGCTCTCGTGGAGGAGATGAGGAAGGGAGTCACCGGGCCTGCGTACGACAAACAATTGGATGCTTTTAAGGTAAAATTTAGATTTTTAAATAAGTTAATTAATATAATGTTATATATATAATATTAGAATGTGTGTGTTTGTGTGAGTATTTGATTAGTTTAAGTCTTAAAATATATAACTTAGATAATTAAGGAGGTTATAATATTAACATTTAATGTTTATGAATTGAAATCATATATTGTAAGTGGAAGGTTTTGGTGTGAAGGAGAAGGGAGACGGCTCGTGCACAAAATTAAGTCATATGTGTCAAGGTAAGACTAAAACCTTATGGGCATTTAGGGTTTTATGATATTAATTAATTGAATGGAAATATTTGTTTATTTACTAAATTCTAATAACATGTTTATTTTAATTGGTTATTAAAAGCAGAAGGTTAGAGGTTGAATTAGGTAGCATTGTAAGGGAAAAAGAAATGCATTCAGGCTTTACTTGAGTAATTATTTTTTTTATATGTATTAAATTAAAGTTTATTAAATAAAGTTTTTTTAATGCTTTAGACAATTATTTTTATAATTGTATGCATGTTGTAAGCTTAAGAATTAAAGGAAATGAATGAAGAAAAAAAGAAAATGATTGTTCAATGTATTTAAAATGAGATAATTTAAAATTAATAAAATATAAAAGTTTAATTCATACATGATTACCCTCTGATGGTACTAGTAGGGATGTGATGTACCTGTATATGATAAATGACATGGTAAAGATGTACCTTCGGGTTCATAGTTTTATAAAGTAATGTATTACATTTCTTTTAGTAATTCATGCATAGTATTGACATAATAATTTAATGCATACTTAAATTATAATTGCTCACCAAATCAAATTTTCTGTTGAAATTAATGATTTCCTTTAGGAAAAGAAAAACTGTAGGTTGATATGTCTAATAGTAAAGGCTTAATTTATAGAAGAAAAACTGCAGCTGATAGACATTAAGTTATGATAATTTTGTAGTCTCTTCTTGAACTGTTTTCCTTTTTATAGTGATTTGTTGTGTGAATTTAGATGTTTTACTTGTAGATATTTGTGTTACTGTTGGATGGTTTAAATTTGCTCATGTGCACTTATTCCACCTGCTAATATGGTGGAAACTGCAATTAGAAGGATATTGCCACTGATTTTGCCTCAGAGGAGCACCTGTCACTATCTCAGCCCCCTCATTTTGCTGAAAATGAGGATACTCTCATTTTGGTGTCAGAAGATGCTCCATTTGCTATGGAAACAGTTATTGTTGATGTTGAAGGCCCTCAAACCTTGGCGGAGTGCCAAGTTCAAGGTGTGCAACAGATAGAAATTGCTCCCATTGATGGGCAATTCAGTGATAAGTTGGGCCAACTCTTGGAAGATGATTGACAAGTTTATAAAATCAGGAAAAAGAAAAAAGGACTAAAGGAACTCAGAAATTTATAGGAGGATGCTTTGCTCGTTTTGGGTGGAAGCCCTCATCACAGTTTAGTATTTTGTTCCCTCTCTAGAACCAGGAAGAGAGGAAAGCCTGCTCATCATGATTAAGCTCCCGAGAAGCCTGCAAACCACTTTTATCTTTTTGGGGAAATTGTCTAGTTTTTTTTGGGGTATATTTGTACCTTTTGAGTCTTGTATGTCTTGTGAGTGTGCTTGTAGCACCCGCTCACTAAAATCTTTGTATCTATCAATGATATTTTTATTTTGGCGGAATATATATATGTGTGTGTGTGAGTGTGTGTGTGTGTGGGTATGTGGGTGGGTGGGTGCGGCTCGTCTAGGGGCGCCCGTCTAGGGTGACAAGTTGGTAAGCAAACGGTTAGCACATATGAGGAGCGTTATTTTCAGATACCACCCTTTGAATATATATATGGACACACACGCACACACATTAGATATAATTGTGAATCATCCAATGAGTTTTTATTAAAAATTGGGTTTAATTTAGTTTCAAATATTTGTATATTGATAATATAGATGCTTCAAGCTGAGCTATATTGTTGGATGTTGTTTACAAATTATAGTTCTAATATTTGAAACCTCTCGTGATCTCTATGAATAGTTTGACTAAACACTTTGAGAAAACTTTAAAATATAAGGTCTTGGGATTAATAAACCTGTCTGAAGTACATACTACACAACTTCAGTGTATTTAAAATTGCCATGGGTGAATTCTATTAGAACAAGTAATATCATGGTTTGATAGGCTTAGTATATCGGATCTGTCAAAAGAGTTTTGATGCATATGAAGACATAATTTCTAAAATAAACAAATTATTGAATGGTGTTGTACTCATGACTATTGTAGATTTTAGATTAACATGAATTCTGCAAGTTAAATTATTAAAATTTCATTTTAGATTAGCTATGTTCTATACCTTCTTGTGTGAAAGTAATGAAGTTACTGAAGTTCTAGTTTAGAGCACTAAAATTTGTATTTTAAAATGGATATTTTAAAAACTACGAAGAAATAAGTGAGAAATTAATATATTTAAGAGACGGTGGGGATGCCATCTTTTGAAGATAAGACGGTGGAAGACAAACTAAGGTAGTTTAAGCATGTATAGGAGGGCAAAAGATCATTCATATATGGCATTGGAAGGGAACGGAGCAGGTCAAGGTAGTTTGAACAGAATTTGAGTAAAAAGAGTTTCATGTTGTATTACCATCAGTCGATATGTTTTGAACACAATTAACAATTTCTCTTCTCACTCATGCAGCTGCCTTATTTCAGCTTCTCAGTTTTTGGATCTATAGAAATTTCTCCTATCATAGTTATTCATGGTATCCATACAATTTTTGCTCTTTATGAGCTAGGTAAAATATTATGGAGTCCTTGGTTTTAGTCATGCATTTCACGTTATAACCTTTTTCATTTAATTTCTCAACAACCCCGTCAATTTTTGGGTTTTCTCCACTAAGGCCTTAACAATTTTCAGCTTCGAAAGGACTTTTATATTATTATAGTCATTCATGCATATTGCATTTTTATATGGAATTTGGATGTGTACATTCAAATACATGTTTTGTTTGTTAAGATTCATTTTTGTAAAATTTCAGGGAAGGGTTATTCCTTGTGATTTTATTGGTGTTGTCAAAAGCCAGCGGCCTGTGTATTTGAAAGGTATAGCAGATCTGGCAATAGTTGATCAATATGTTATCCAGAAGGCATGCTTTAGGCCTTTTATAATCTGATATTGTTTTTACTGCTCCTGTAATTTTTTCCTTCTGCAGGAGAAATTGTAAGCAATCATGATGAGCTTATGTCTAATTTCTTTGCACAGCCAGATGCGCTGGCTTATGGGAAGGTGAGACTCAATATTATGCTTTAAGCTTGTGCATAATCATTCCTCTTACCAATTTTTTTGTGGTTAGTCCCCGGAACAGCTACAGAGTGAGAATGTGGGGAGTCACCTAATTCCTCATAAGGTTACTGGTGTTCATCTTTTCTTTTATTTTTCTGCTTATGCATTGGAAAGTTCCATTACTTGTTTCTTTTAATTGGTCCTATTAATGATTAGTCTATGAATGATTTGCAGACCTTTTCTGGTAATCGGCCATCTCTCAGTCTTCTTCTACCTTCTTTGTCCGCTTATAATGTTGGACAGGTTTGTGCTAGCCTTTTTATGTACTACATTTTTTTATATTGATGTCTTCTTTTTATTGTTTTGAAGTTGTCTTCTGATTTTATTACGTTTTATTAATTAATTATGTCAAAAGATTTGAAATCAATTTTTCTTTTCAACTTTCATCATGCTCAGTGCTTCAATGATCTCCAATAATCCTTTCTGCTAACATCTGAAAGTATAACTTAATAGAATGGCTGTTTTCTTCATTGTTCTGCTTTCTGATTCTTTGGAATTGTGGTGGAAATAAGGAAAAGGTTGCCTTCAGCATTTGGTTCCTGGGTTATCTGCATATTGGTTTGTTAATCTTCCACTCTGCTGATTTTAATGCCTCCTAGATTAACCTGCCTTACGTAAGATTGCTTTAGGGGACTCTAAGTTGTGATGCAATGCAACTTTGATGAATTATCTAAATGAGTGGGAAGATTCCGGGAAGCTATAAGCCTTTGAGATGTTAAATTGCTGAGTTTTTTTAGAAATTTCATTAGATAAACAAATGTCTAGATCCATGATGACCAATGCCTAGAAATGCATATTATCAGACAGTTTTTCTTTATAAACATAGCCCAAAATCTTTGTTGGACCTTTAATTAAAAAAAAAAGGAAAAAAATAAACTACTGAATTTGATATCTTTTATTGAGGTTTCAAATCTCTGAGCATTTTTTCAGTTCATCCAATAGAAGCATAATGCAGCTAAGGATGCGAATCACAATGCATTTTGTTCTGGGTCTTGTAGTTTTGACGCACGAACAAAGAATCACAGTGGTATATTATGTTTGGAACTCTTTAGATTGATAAGTTTCAAATAAATGTAAAACTGCAAGGAAGCGATAATAAAAGAAATAAAAGTTGAGAGGAATTGACGGGGAAAAAGACAGGAGAATATGCATAACTCCTTGTTATGTCGTAGGTAAATGTTTGAAAATTCACTTGAATGAAGTAGAGGATGCTTTTCTCTTAACTTGAAGGGAAAAATAATTATTAAGTTTTTGTCCTTGCAAAAGCACATTGAATAGGGAGGATAAAGTTTTATTCACAACTTTTGGTGTCAATCTATTTATGTTTGATGATGTCCTATTAACCTATCCATGCATATGTGTTTCTATCCAGTTGGATGATGTTGGATGATGTCTTATGATTTCTATCCATCCTCTACTTAAATAAAGTTGATGCAATGCATGGATATGGCTTTTTTTTTTTGTCAAATTTTATTCCAGCAGATCGAAGAACTATACTTTTCTCTTGTGAGGAAGTTTTGTCGGCTTCCTACGCCATTTTAAGAAGTCATTGTCTTGTAGTTTTCATTGAAATGTTTTTTGGGATTTAGGAACTATTTGAATGTATGTTATGCTTTTGTGAACGGATTAGAAATCATTTTTTCTTATGTTTCTGATTTTGATGTATAAAACTATAATATATAAAAATCAAAATTCCATTAACCTGATCTACTTTATTATTAAAGTTAGATTAATGTTGCAAAAATTGGGACATTGCTCGAGGAATGTTGCAAAAATTGTAAATCTAAGGAACTTTACTAATGTCAAATTATACCTTATTGCAACTATTTGCGTCTAACTTCAGGAATCTTCGTTTTCATTCGATCCTATTATTAAGGTGTTAAATATATTCTTTGTAAATTCCTCGAGCAATGTCCCAAACGTTTGCTAATATTACCTAAGATGACATGCACAATGAAAATGCATAAACAGTTATGGTTCTTAGGTTACTCTAAAGTTTAGCTTAAAGTTGCCACCTTTAGAATGTGAGCAGAAAACATAGGTCTTTCATTCCAATCTATGATGTAATTACCTTTAAAATTTTAAATTTCATAAGAAAAATAGGGAACAAATATAAAATTTCAACAATGATCAAGATTCATGCCCAAAAAAGAATTTGCCATGCATCACACTCTGACAAAATTTCAATCATGCCTACGCAGCAGTCACTAAATATGTTAATAGCAAAAACAAGAATGGAACACCCAATAGAGAATGATGGGCTCACACATGTAGAAGGAAACCGATCCCCTATAGATGTTCGCAAGTCTTGCAAAGCAGTCAATGTTTTAAAGTTTCCACACTCAAAAGAGTAGGAAAAAACTAGAATTTTAACTTGCAACTCAATGCTCATTTATTTTACATTTTACATTAGTCTTATTTCTTACCAAAATAACCCAAATGCAATAACTTGCCAAAATTCGTAAAGATGCAGTCAAATAGAATTCGTTTCATGCATTCTAGCACATGGAGTCTATATTTTAGCACATACAAGGAAAGGACAAAAATTTGGAAACAAAGGCCGTTGAAAGAAACTAGGAAAATCCGCCAATGGAATCTTTGTTTTGTGCTATATTTTCAATAATGAAATTGTTTGTTTATTATAGTGCTAAGTGTCAGTGAGGCTACAAATTGTTTCCACAGAAGGTCACATAGTTTCAGGATAACAAACTCAAAAGAGGAATAAAAGTACTCAATTTTTATAGCGCTGAACAGACATAACTGTTATATATGAATAAAATATCAAAAGTTTATGCTTAGTCTTGGTAATTAGGGTCACATAAGGTTCTCGATTTGTCACGCTTGAATATACTAACTTTGACAAAATGGCTTCTAATATCTCTTAATGTTCTTGATCAATATTGGATACAATCTATATTTTTTAGCTGGAATTCATAGTAAGTAAATATGTTTGAGAAAATGCTTGACTCGATTTGGGGAAAAAATCTACAAACATTGGAACAGTGCCAAAACTTTCTATTATTTTTAATTCAGAAGTATTTAACCCAATGATTTGTATGGTTTGATGTTCCTATCATTTTATAATAAATTTCTCAAATTTTCATTTAGGAATCTTTTCATAATTTATACATAATATTACTTTATCATTCTTTAAAAGCACTATTTTTTTATTAAATGTATTGGAACAGTTGGAACGGGCTAGCACTGGTTCAATCTTACTGCGTTAGTGGTTTGCAACTATTAAGGGAGACGAAGTTTTTTTTTTGGGGTGTGGGACGGGGGGGGGGGGGGGGGGGGGGGGGGGCAT